TGGAGAAAAACGCAAAGTAGTGGTTCACTCAGACTCTACGGCTACCTTGAATGCAATAGTCAAAAGGTTTTCTAAAAATACCATAATTCGAAGAATACAAGAACAGTTATTTACACAAGAAAACAACGGAACCTTCATCTGTATTGTTTGGATTCTTTATTTATTTGGAAGGGAATGAAAAGGCAGATAAAGAGGCTAAAGACTTCTACACCAACTTCATTACCAACAACGGACAAGATTGTGAAGGGAATTCTCTCCGATATCAAACTATATATTAAAAATATGGTTAAGAAACAGTGGAATGAAAAATGGCTGACTACCTTCTCCAAACTTCACCTCGTAAGGAAATCCGTTATTGAACCCGCTCTTCCCAAACTCCAACTCACTAGATTCCAACAAGTCCAAATTACCAGACTACGTATAGACCACTTTAATCTCTCACACATTCACGGTGAAATTCAGCTTCTATTATTAGTAATGTGTGATTATCAATTCACACATTCCTAATAACAAAAGCTGACCCATTACCTAACTGTGACCTAAATGTGGATCCCAAGTATTTACATCCCATATTATTCTAGAGTGCCCTGAACTAGCCCATATAAGACGGGCCTTAAATTTAAAAGTTTCTCTATATATATCCTTCTCCTCCCCACAAGAATGTATAAAAGTCTTACAACTTTTAAAAACATCAAAAATTGATACCTTAATATAAAGACCCTATTTTACCTATATATCATATACAATAATCCTTCAAACATGTTGTTAATATCAAACATTTGTGTAATGTAAATAAATAAATATGTATATCTATCCAAATTATTTAAGTAACCACAATATTAATACATTTTGACCATTTATATGCTTGTATGAAATGTATGTAAATGTATAATGGCATAACTTTAAAAAATGTATATTATTGTGTAAATTATAAATTTATTCTCGTGGTCGCTTATGACCCAGTTGTTGAAAAGCGACCTTAAATAAATAAAATTAAAAAAAGGGACCATCCCGGCGTACACCTTAAGTGATAGATAAAACCTAGAAAAAACTCAACTTAGGGCCGAACATTAATAGAACTGAATATGTTATACATAGTAGTGAAAGAGAAGTTTAGTGCAAGAGAAAAGAAAAGACGTAGAGGGGAAGAGGTCATAAAGTAAAAATGGTAAAATTTGTGAGGGAGAGAAAAGAGAGAAGAAGCGAAAAATGAAGAACAAGTAGGCGAAAACAGTGAAATTATTCAAGGAGCGTTACAGAAAGCTATGTTTGGTTTACATTAGCACTTTATATAAATATAAAATCATTTTGACACCAGAGAAACAGAAATTTAAAACACAATACGAATGACGTATTGACAGTATTAAGGAACAAGTATAATTACTTATGCTGGATCTTAATTATCAATTTTGTTTATGCCAATATATCTGTATAAAGTTTGATGATGATACAAAGATAACTACAAGTATATTTTATCTGGAACGTGGCTAATATTGTTTTGTATATTTTATTAAACAATTTGATTACGATACACATAAAAATGGTTATGTTAATAAATTAGATTTTAGTGTGAAAGGGAATGGAAAAAGAGGATAGATCAGTGAGGTGCGGGGTAGAATTTTGAAAATAGAGAGGGGAACAGTACGGTGTTTAATGGGGATGGTGACCGGGTGCTTAGAAGTGGGAAAAGTCTGGAGATCGAAGAAGACGTTAACACCAAACTATATGTCGTTATTCCGTACCCATGTGGTTTATTCATTTTTGAATTTACAGAAAGTATTTGAATGTTTTAGACTCGCTGGTAATTTATTCCAGGCTCGGATAGCTGTAATGGTGAATGATCTACTGAACAAAGTTTTGTTGTGACGTGGTACACAAAGCAAAGAAATAATTATATGAGTCACCATTGCCAACAATATTTTTTTTTATTACAATAGCAGCTTTCGATGACGTAGCCATCATCATTAGTTTTCTGCTGTAAGGAAGCCATAAAAACGACTACCTGGTAGTCGGCATAATGACTAATATAAATTGTAAATCCATTCATTGTAAATGCCAACGAAAAATCACAATACCAATACACAAAGCAAAGCTTAATCACGAGCTCGACTTGGTTTCAGTAAAAATAACTATTACAATATACCAATTTGTTGCAGAGTTATGATGTTCGAAGTAAAAACCTGAATTTTTGCCACTTTATAAACAAATTGAATTTTTTAAGTATTTGATCTCTAAAATCATGAAGCAATCAAATGTACAAAGCAAAAGAAGATAGACCCAAATTTGTAGATTTTTTTTTGTTGGGAAGGCAGTTACTTTAAAAAAATGTATATTTATAATTCTATGTGTAGGAAGACGCCAAAAAATTTGAATTTTTTCAATTTCAAAATCAGGGTTTTCAACCAACATGAGACCTGCACCATTTTCTTAAATATCCATTAGACTATCCAATAACAAAATTTAATCAAAATCGATGGCGCTATTTTTCATAATTTTGGAAATGTCCCAGGAAAAGTACCCTCAAAATAAAAATATCGGTTTCAAATTTCAAGGAGCCACGACATCAGCTAGAAAGTTTGGGGAATACTAATTTTGGAGAAAATCTGCTGAACAGTTTAGCCTTTAGCGTTGTGCACAGACACAGGAGCAGACGGACGGACAGACGTTTTGCCGTCAATCGATTTTTCGGTATCAAAGCATCCACAAAGCAGGGATTCTGACTACAACGAGTGAAAGAGGATTTTTTTCTAAATTTAGTATATGGATTTATACCCTTTTTCGTTATTAGGGCCCTGTAATTAGTTATTCTGCCAAAATTCACCGTTTTCCGCGCAGCATTATTAAACTTTCTCTTCTTAAATTGTTCTCTCTTTAAGCCCGAGAAAGTAGCAATCCGTAATTTTCAAGAGCGTATTGAAAAAAATAGTTTTTTTTCAAAAAATTGTACATAACCTTTTTTAAAGAGGTAATTGTAGTTTACAACAGACTTTGACGCAAATATTTCTATCTTCAATTTTGTATTGGAAACTCACCCTCTTAAACGTCCTTCGTACTGTTCAACAACAAAAATTAATCAAAAATTGGAGCCGTTTTTTGAAAATTTTGAAAACTTCCGAGAGGCATCTTCTAAAATACCTCTCCTCCCCCTCCGAAATTAAAATAATGATTTCAAAATACAGCGGCCGATACTTCAGCCAGAACGATGGGGGAATATCATTTTTTTTTTAAAAATCGGCTGAATTGCGCTAGCGTTGTGCACAGACGGACGGACAGACATGTTTTGCCGACATTCAATTTTTTCGGTATGAAGGACGCACGAAACATGGGTTTGGGGTTTTCACCACGTGTTAGAGAATTTTTTTTTTTCTTCATTATTTCGCAACTGGATTTATCCCATTTTTCCTTACCATTCGCCGTTAATAACACTTTTTGTGTCAAAAATTCGTTTTCCGGCGCAAGATTACAATACTTTCTCTTGTTACGTTAGTAAGTGCGAGAAAATAAAAATACCTCATATTATTTCAAGATCTTGACGAACAGATTCATTAAGAAACTAGTAGTGCTACAAGTAGCACGGACTTTCTCCTACAAATTAGTTTTTAAATTTCTGTGTTCTGGGCAAGCTTTACATTCTTGCCCCATCCTCTTGCCAGCTGCTATTGTCACCCAAAGTACTCGTATATTTTTTTAAACAAATTTAAAACAAATGTGTCGGTTTCTTAATGAAGATTTTCAAATAAAGAACCTAAATATTTCTCTAATAATAGTAAAGAAGAGTAAAACATCACACTAAATTGCAATTGTCATTAAAAACTTGGATCCCTTTTTTAAAAAATTGCGTTTAAGCGTTGCTGAATGCAAAGTTTGAAGCTCTTTTTCACAGAAAGTTTTTCAGTTTTCGAAAATTTGATTGGAAGTCATTTGAATCACTTTCAGTCACAAATGCGGTGGTTTTTACAAATCGCTGGAAATGTGCATATTAACGAAGTGAGAGATATTCGAAAAAAAAATACGGGGATGGAAATGAGGCAAATCCCCCCCCCCCAAAAAAAAAGTTTCAGAAACTGTTAATTTTAACTTGTCACAAAATTTTTAAGCAAAACTATTTTTGGATAATCATTAAAACAAATAAAATCGTATCACAGCATGAACTGACATGCAGCCTGCGACATTCTACAAAATCTGTAGTATCACGTTAGACGAAAACATTTTTATTTTCACCTCTCAAAATTTGTCTCTGGATCCGCTCCTGTGTCAATGTTGAGTGTTTAATATTCATTTATTAGTGATTTCTTTCATAAATACGTTATATATTAATGTATTTTGATAATTATAATAAAGTCATGAAATTTACTACTTTCAGTGCTGAAACGTCAATATAATAAATGGCATAAAACGGAAACCTCCCTAAATCAGATTAGTTTTGTGTCCCAAACGATTTGGCTTGGACAGATTGTACTTTATATTGTTATTTTTTTATTTGTTAAGCAAATTTTGCTATTTTTGTCTTTTTACGATGCAATCTGAGAACTGAGAAACTGAGAAGTATATAAAGAACTCTTGTGTGTTTTGTATCGAAGTGCCTCTGTCACTCTCAAAATGTTAGTGTCAGAGAATCTCGAATGCTCAGTTGATAATACAGTTTTTATATCGACCAAAGCCATGCTTTATTTAATTAATATTTTATTTAAACATCCTGAGAAACTTCACAAATATTGTTGGGGAGCTATAAAGAAATGACCTGAAAAAGTCCTGGAAATTTACCTAAGAAAAAGAGTGGTCACGGTTTTTCATGAAGTATACTTTAGCTACTATTTTGTTGTTTATTTGATATACTATTTAGTTGGATAAAATAACCAAATTTACGGAAATATATTTCGGATATCCTGAATTCCATTGTTATCCTTTTGGCAACTCTAGAGAGGACAAGGAAGAGGAAGGAAGGTTACTCAGTGTTCGTGGCCCGTGTGTACGGTACTACTGCTCGCTCATTTATTTGGTATTGATCGGAGAAACCACAGAACCTCGTTACATACCCCTTTCAAAATATTCCCTAAGGTGTAAAGTGCCCGTTTCAAAATATTCAGAAGGTCACGCCCCCCTTGGCGTACGTTTGCCGACCAACATTCACCTTACCAAAATTAGCCAATCAATAGTGACTTCAGATTATTATTTATTGTCTTTATTAGGTATGTATTTGCTTTCCAGTAGTCTGTTTCTATTTGATAATTATTTAATATTGCCATCAACAATTTGATTTTGGCAGTAGGTTAAACATTGTTAATATGTAAATATCGGTTTTTTTGCTTCAAGCCTTCGTGTAATGGCATTTGAGAGAAATGGATGGATGGGTCAGCGAGTCACGGAAGTTGATGGACAACCGAGCTCTGTGGCTGTAGTTCACATATCTACCACGTGGGCGATAGTAACATGATGGCAACTTAATTAGTGGCTGGCGTTACAGTGCTGTTTTATTTTTCTTGTTTTTCCTTTAGTTTTTGTTGAGTCTGTCCAAAACAGTGAATGCAATTTCGTAAACAATGAGTCTTGAACCAATGGCAACATCAGCCTCATCTGTTACAGCAATGGAAACTACCGAAGAGCTTTCTCCAAGGGACCCGTCGAAGTAAGCGAACAATCTAAACCTGTTGCGCTGAAAAATCAATATTCTTTAATGGCACGACACCTAAGTAGAGTGCATGTTTGGTCGTTTATCGGGTATTACATGCCTTAATACTTTCTCACTGATGTTTTCTAGGGAATGTGAATACTTTCATATGGTTATTAGGCCGATGTTGACCCCGGGTCATGAGGGTGAACTTTGCGAATGGATGAAAGAAATGGGATTGTTACGACGAGGGTGGCGATGCACAAATGAAGACTGCAAAGGAGCACGTAGCTACATGGTGTGGAATAAAGCTAGAGTTGTCGATAAATATAATTGGGCCTGTCCAAATTGCTCAAGGAAAATATCAATACGTGAAGGTTCCTTCTTTGTACACATAAAGTGTGAATTAAAGCATATATTTCAAGTGATTTTGGGATGGTGCGAAAAAGTATCAAGTGAAATCACAGCCAAGAACTTAGGTATTGATTTTTAGGAATGTTCTGATATTTAACAATAAATGATTGACCTACTTATACTTATGACATACTTTTGGTATGAACTTCCATATGTTATAGTTTCTTACGTTATTTAACTCTGCATATTTGTTTTTTGTCTTTTAAAGAATTGAAAAACCATGTTGTTGCAAGGATTTATGAAAGATGCACTGAAGTTGCCAGTAAATATGTTAATTATCATAACCATGCGTGGTCCCTGGGAGGAGATAATGCAGTTGTTGTTATTGATGTGTTTCCTGATGGGTACATGACGTCAACTCCACCTGTTAATGAAACTACTGGCAAAAAGAATTCAACAAAGAAGAGAATCCTCTGTATTGCTGACACAAGTTTTATGCCAGCTCGGATTTGGGCAAAAATACTAGATCAGGTTTGAATGAAATGAGTGAAGAATATTGAGTGATGTAGCCAAATGTATTATCTGTTTTAGTACATTTGATTATTGAATTTCAGGATACAACAGGGGGCCCAAGACCTGGGGTGATTGAGGAAGCTCTTAATCATGTAACACAGCATGTCCGTCCAGGTTCTACCCTTGTTGCCAATGACAGAGCAAAATACTGCCCCTATGAAGCAATACAAACCCTTGAAGGTTACCCAAATATAATAAGTGTGGAAACTCTTATAGAACTTGACTTGCCTGGAACCAAACGTATTCAAGAAAATCTTGGTAATAGTTTTTTTAATGTATTATTAATTGCCTTACATTTAAAATTTATTGACTGTTACTTAAATTATGTGGTGTTACTGTTTATTTACAGAAACTATTTGGGCTAATGTTGTGCAAGTGTGTGAGGAAGTTCAAGAAGTTCCGAAGAAGGTTGGGTCCATGATTCTTGATGAATTCATGTGGCGTCAACTATTTGCACAGACTACTTCAACTGCACTGGAATCTATTCTGCATCACATCGCTGATCAATATGTTGACGAAGAGTGACATAATTGAGACATGACTAAATTTACATTTTTTATCCAGATATCTGAGTAAATCAGAGATCCTGAACTATGTGCAATTTACAGATGTTAAGCTAATTGTATGCTGGGTGATGCAAAAGTCGTCTTGCTTCTTTCTCTTTTCTTCTATGAGATCCCAAATTTGTTTGCTTCTGAATCTCGTAGTGCAAGGTCTTTTTGATTGCACTCCTAGCAAAAGTTGAGAACAGGTTTGTTTGAATATGAGTTCAAATGAATAATTTCGTAGTAATATTACTCTTTTTCTATTCAGAACTTCTCTATTCTTCTTTTATAAAGTTCACAAACAAGGATTTTAACTGAGTAATATTATAACATTTCATTATTATTGCTTTGAAGTTTAGTTTAGATATGGTTAAAAATTTGGATAGTTATGAATCTAAAACAGCATCTGCAGAATTAGTTGTGATTGCAAGATAATTATTGTGAGAAGAAAGAAGTCTATGAATATTGACGTAATAGAATTATTGAAACCGAAATGGAATTAATTTGGGAGTTTATGTTCCTTAGTAGGTACCTGTGAGCATGCTAATGGTGAAGTTATTCCCTCAGTTGTGAAAAGATTGCAAAATTACAGGTAGAAGATCATCAATCTAGTATATACTCAAAATTGCAAAATAAGGTTTTGGTTGAACTTGAGTAATTTATATTTGTTATGAAAAGATAAAAATATATTTGAGAAATTTCTTTACATATTTGTCATATATTTAATTATTGGTGTTTTTATACGAGTTGATAAATATTTTGACATTTGGTTTAATATATTTCATTAGGTTAGCATTAGGAAGAGTCTTTAAGCCTCTTCTTGTAATTCACAGGATAGGCACTGTTTTCTTAAATCTACTATTAAAAAGAGGAAGTTTCTAACTACATCTATGAATTAAAAGCATTGTTTAATGTATATATGATATTGTTATGACTAAAGTTTGGATGGGAAAGTTTACAACAATTAAAAAAATGTATAAGATGAACATCATTGGATATTATTACAGATAAACTTAAAAATTAGAATTAATTGTCTATCACAACTCGGAAGAACAAGATTAATTTGAAATAGACTTTTTCTAAAGTGGTTGAATTTTGTTTCAATTTAATCAGTTAATGTCCAAATTGTTACAAGATGTTTAAAAACGATTGCCTCTTATTCTGAGGATGCTGTGCTGATAGAAATATTTCAGCTTGCTTTGCGAGATAAATTGTTCTGTAGATCATGCAAACAGTGTTGTTAATATTCTTTTTTTTTATTCCATGTTGGACTTTTAATCGCCCGGCACATCAATATTTTATGCTTACGTAGACATGGAAAGTACTTATATTGACCTTCAATTTTTTACTTGTTATAAGCTCTACATTTGTTCACACTAGTACTAAAATATTTATTAGAGCATAGGCTTCCATGGCTGGAGTCGGAATATACTTGATTGTCTCGGAGGTGCCACACCCTAGGCCCAGGTGCCAACGTTTCGCCCGCCATTCTGCGCTTTCTGGATTTTGCCCTGAGGAAGGTCACTGTAGCAACTGAAATGTTGGCACTTGTGCCTAGGATGTAGCATCTCACAGACAGCCAAGTAAATACTAAAATATTTATTGACTCATTCACATATTCACTAACAAGTTTACTTGTTAAGGTCATGTATATTGCAACACTATCTTAAAATGTCTGTGCCATTGGTTACGGTTGATCTCATATTTTTATTTTTGGGAATTGTTAGGCTTGTATATATGAAAGTGCACTTGGTTAATTTTGGGATTGTTATATAAGGTTAGGAAAACTTTGTAACTGATAGCACTCAAGTTACATATTCAGTGCTCGTGTTAATATATTATTAATTTATTTACAATTTCAATGAGTAAAATTTTTTTGTGACCGATTGATTTCATTTCCTAATTTGTTTGACTTTTGTGCAACTTGAGTAAATATTGGTTATAATACAAATACATTTTTAACAATCAGGATGGGGGCAGAATGTGCTCGCAGAATTTAAGTAAAAATTAATGAGATAATATGCAGACGATCAACCAAGTGTTACTTCCCAGTTGCAAGTTTCAGAGTACAAGTAATGACTATCCTGAATATGTCATCTGATTAAAACGGAAACTCAGTGTTGCATTTCTTCATTATAAATCATAAAACTCATTTTTGTACAATTTAATTGATAAATCAAATCATATTATGTACATAATTGAAATTATCATTCGTGTAGAATGATACTTCATCTATTTAGTGTGAACATTTTGTAGAGTTTTGGTTTTATACAAAGATGTTAACAAACTGTGCAGTACAAACCATTTGTAGGATGTACCAAATTATCAGGCCAACATCCTAACATTTCTGGCCATGTAAGATCATACTATTCATGGTAGAAGTTACATTAAACATTGGCCTGGAGGTACATTGTGCAGTGAAAGCCATAAATTAAGCTTTATTATTGGTTGTTACTATTTTGCTTTGGGCGGCGACTTTGCACTTCATAACGTTTTTAAATATAAGTGAGTGCCACTAACACAGAGATGTGGTTGGGCATGGTGACGTAGATCAGTATTTTTTTACAAAACATAGATGTAATGTATATATTCTACTACAGTACATATAAAAATATAGTATCATTTACAATTATGTTAAATGTTGATAACAAAGAGATTTTATATAATGTGAAAAATAAATTTTATATCTTGTGGTCTAGTGTTGCTGAAGTTCATCATTTCATATTTTATTAAATTTTTCTACAGACAACATTGTTATAGTTGAAAATAATTACTGCCTGAATGTTTCACATGTTTATCTGTTACCATGTCATGATATATGAATAACTTGGAACTCTTGGGACTTCCATGTTGACAATCAGTCTTCCTCAGGCTGAAATGTAAAATGTTCAATTGATGCAATTGTAATTTGCTATGTGCCTATCTCATAAGAGTGCCAATTATTGATTTTAAATTCCAAAGTATTTTCACTGTTTTTGCACTAAACTTAAAAAGTCATGATAAAACACCATATATGACTTGTATATTCACATGTTGAATGGTCTTGTCATGAGCACCATTTGTGTCACTTTTCTGGAGTTGGTTAAATTTTTCATGTCAACTAAGTTTTAATTCATTGAACTGAAACATTGTGCATTAAGAGGAACAATATGTTATCAACCTTTCTCCATGCTCCGTTCTCTCCAATAGAAAATAATTTGTACAACAGGCTCAAAACTATATTAGTATGGTTGCGGCTGAATATAAAAACTGCTTTGAATAATAAGTGAATGAGCTTAACTGTGGTGCAACTGAGAAGCAAGTTTCGGCAAACAGTAATGTGTTGTGCACATTTAATGTCATTTGCTCCACTGGGCCTAAACTTGTCCTAATATATTTGTATCATAAAGTTTTGTACTTCTATTTCAAGCCTTTATAAATAATTTCAGAAATATATTTGTTAAAAAAAATCACTTTCAAAAAATAACAATGTATTTTTTTATGGGTGATGGTGTTTTGCGAAGTAATACTTGATGTATATCGCATCTTTTGTGCTGTTATTTTGAAGGTTTGGAAATTGATTTGCATATTATTAATTTTCATAGTTTATTGTGAAAACATTTGTACAAGACTACTTAAGCAGTTGATATATTTCTCTGTTAAACAATATTCACTTAACATTTGGTCAATTATAGAAAAAGGCCTAGGTCATCATTTGATGCATCAAAAGACAATCAAATGATGCAGATTTTTAATGTGATAGTTTATGTTTTCAGCTATTAGTGCTGTATTGCTGCCTTGTAATACAAATAATGGCTCAATTCTTATTAGATATATCATTACATCATAAAGTGTGAGCAGATGAATTACTCTTATAATTAACTTCATGCTGCCTTTCACATTAAGATTAAAAAGGGGAAACTGCAAGCAGAGGTATAATACAGTGTAAACGATCAATTTATTTCTCTTGAATCTATACTCATGTTCTTGCAAGTAATTCAGAAGAAGGAAGGTGTGGAATAGCAACCAAAGTGTGATTCATTGCAAAATTTTTATCACTGTAATGTTTGCATGTATGATCCCTTAATCAGAATGTGAAAATTCTTGTGCTTGTAAACCAATTTTATGTTAATGCAGAAATATTTTTGTGTGAATTAGTTAGTGTTTATATTATCTTCAAAAGCAATATCCAATGCCAAAGGAAAGCATTAGTCTTTCAATTTTTCATTTTATTTGGAAAAAATTGTGTTGTATGTTCAAATTTTTATTTTGAAGCCTGATTGTTCAAAATTTAATGTCTTAGTAAAGAAAGCAATAGAATATTCTGGTAATTAACTTGTGGGGCACTACTCTGGTGGAAATTTTAATTCATCAGGCAGCTAAAGTGCAAGTAAGAATGAATGAATCAAAATTTGAGGAGTATAGCAGTGCAGAGTGCTTAGTTGAATTCTATTGTTAATTTCGAAATGTCTCAAAAAATTTTTATTTTTAGCAGGATGGATCATATAATATTTTCTAAGTAATTTGTGCAGATTCAGTATTTTTTGAAGTAATAATTGTACTATATTTTACACTTGTTTTTCTTTAAAAGAATTTATTTATTTTTAATTTTATGCCTTGAAATACTATCTTACAGTATTCCACAACAGCATTTAAAGTTACCGTTAGCACTTAAAATTCTTGCCGAATACCCTATTGCAGATGTACAGTTATTCTATTTTCACAAAATAAAAAATTATATAATAATACATAATACATTTGCTATATTTTATTTTTGAATTTTAGGAATAGTACGATATATTAAGTTAGCACAAAAATGGCAACCTGTTATTTTGTGTGTGTTTGTGAGTTCCTGTTGTGAGCCTTCATGTAGTCACAAGTAATAATTTGCATATGTTTTTCAATGCACATCTATTTTTGTTTTCTCTACGTGTTTGATATTGGGTGCGCAATTAGACTGGTCTCTGCTTGTTCCTTAGAATATGCAGTTTACTGAGGCTTAATATTCCTTGATAGTGTTTGTAGGAAAATGTGTATAATTAGATGAACACTATTCTTTAAGAGTAAGATAATGAAATCTTGAGTGCCTTTCTTAATGCAAAATCAAAACAAAAAAAGCACACAATGCTTGGGCCTTAATTTTAACTGTTTGTTTGTTTCCTTTGTTTTTTCATTGTAGTTTTCAGAATTATTTATCTTTCTTTTTTGGACAATCTTAGTGCTGTTTGTGCTTCATTCTCTTCAGTTAAATGGAAGGAGTTTGAGTGGGCCAGCATGAACAATTTTTGAAAAATTCAATATACTGAAAAAGTTCAGACTGTGTCCAATAAAAATTTTGAACTTTTGGCAAAGGCCAATATGAAATTGCAAAATTTGTAGAAGCGTAAATGTCTGGTTTTCTTTTTCATAGAAATAATTCTTCCAAATATGTTCTGAAAATATTTCACACTCATGATAATTTATTTATGGTTTTATTATATCTGTGTGCTAAATTGCTCATTTAATTTTATTTTCATTTTGAATTGTATGTAGCTTTTACTTTGCTGTGGCAGTATTATACAATATATTTGTTCACTATTTGTGTATAAAAGAAATACAGACATAATTACTTGTTATTTGAAGAACTCGCTATATATTTTTTGAAAGATGTGGTGTTTTTGTGTTGGATTATAATTTTATTGTACTTGATTATTAGAATATTCATTGTTAAGTTAAGGTTTTACTTAATGCTTGTTTTTTTTTTTGCTCTATTGAACTTTGTCTTCTATATAACATTAGTCAAAGCTAATTGTAATGTTATTTTTATAATAAAAAATATATTGTAATAAATTTCAGAAAATATTGATTATTCAATGTTGAAATAAAATTACATTGCTCTTGTTTGGCTTGCAAATTCTGTGTACCCATGTATCTGAATGTTTGTTACTAACATTGCACAAGCTTTCTCGTAGAGTGCAGTTTGCAAATCATCCTCTCATTGATGGATGGCATATCTACATACTGTGTGAAATACAGGTGCCTTTTGTAAGTGTCCTATGAATTTTGGGTTACAAGTTTTATTCCATGGTTCACTCATCCCATCATGAAAGACTGTTTGTCACATTATAATAATTATTATTATTATAGATATATTAAAAATTATATTTTGTATGTACAAGATATGTTAACCATGGTTTATAAATAAAATAAATTTGTGGAGGTAAAGCCGTTGTCTTCATTTCCGACCTTGTGTTTATTTCATGGCTACAAATATTTTATAAAAATGTGAATATTAAAAATTGTTTTGAATTTGCCAATTGAAGGAAACACTTAAATTTGTATAAACGCCATGGGTGCCCAGAGAGGCCAGTCATTGATCAATGTTTCCCCCAAAATATTCCTATATAACTCAACTATATAATTTCCGTTGAACACTGAATTTTCGAAAATTGATAGAAATAATGGGAAAGACAGATGTTGAAGCTTCGGCCCAAGTTCGTATGACAAACCAACAGCGTGGTGTAGCGATAAAGAGTACGGCGAGTTAATTCGATGGAGAGCGAGTCTATGCGGAAAAATATTTTTGCTCGTTCACGAATTATAATATCGCGGAGAATATTTGCGTTTATGCGCTTTAAATATTTTCAGATACAAAGCGAAAACGCAACCGTTTTCTGTCAAAACTAGCTCAAAATTTCGCAATTTCCAGAAACCGCCATTTTCTCAAAAACTGTTCCAAATTTCTTCTTCAAACTTTTTGAAAGGATAGTGCTAATTGCACTTTTTAATTTAAGGAAAAGTTTATTTCAGGATTTTTTCGTTTTTTCAAAAATTACAAAAATTTAATTTTTTTGAAAAATTTCTCACGCCTGTAATATGCACATTTCCAACAATTTGTAAACAGTATTGTATTTGTGAGTTTAAGTGCTTCAAATGACTTCTTATAAAGTTTTTCGAAAACTCAAAAATTTTCTGCTGAAAAATGCTTCAAATTTCGAATTTACTGTAGCGTTTAAGCGCCATTTTTCAAAGAAAAGTGGCATTTAAGACAACGTTTTACTGTTACGTTTACGTTCTTTAATATTCTTAAAATGATATTTTCGTTCTACTATTAGAAAACCGAAATATTAAGAAAATTTCAAAAAAATGTACTTTTGGCGGCGAAAGATGGCATCAGGCAAGAGTATGTGTCAAGTTCGAATAGCTAGCCGAGAGACTATAGGAAATAGAAAACTAATACGGGAAGGTCTATGCCATTCTACAGCACCACTAGTTTGAGAAATAAATTCTAATACTTCAATTCGTAGTAATTTTAATTTGAGAAATTTCTTGATTGTATTTAGTTCATCTGCAAGTTTTATTGCTTTTATATCTTTTGGACTACCTGTATTACTTTCATCGATCAGTTTAAATTATAGATCCATGCAATTTTTACTTTTTCGTATACGTACGTATATACGGAGTATTATACGTACCCGTGATACCTTCCGTCTGTGAATACCACTAGCAACTAAACCATAGTAGGATTTTTCCAAATTGAAGAAACCCCTGTCCATCTATCTCTAGTAGAAGCTTTGAAGAAGAGATTTTGAAAACAAAAATCTTTAAAATTTGGGGGTACTTTATATGAAGCCTCCCGGGCATTTTAAATTTTTTTTCAAAAACAGCTCCAATTTTTTCTTTAAATTTCTTGAAAGAATAGAGTAAAATACACTTACAAAGGTGGCATAGGTTCAATTTTCAAGTTTAACTCTGAATTTTCGAAAATTTCAAAATTTTTTCGAACGCCTTCCCACAACTACAAAATTGAAGATAGAGATTTTTCCTTCAAATAAAATTTGTTCTCCATACCGAGTTCTTTCGTTCAGGTCATGTACATTTATTCGAAAATTTAAAAAAATAACAAAAACAAGATTTTTTCAAAAACTACTCCATTTTTTAAAACTTTTGGTAGGGATAGTGCTAATTGTACTTTATAAGATGACATAAACGCTATATTGCTGTACTCTTTTGTTTTTATAAAAATGTCATTTGTTCACATTGGTTTGTTGACTTCAAATGAATTTTTCGAAAACTCAAAAATTTTCTGTGAAGAAGAGCTTCAAATTTCGAATACATAGTAGCGCTTATGCGCCATTTTCTTATAACTGGCAGGAAATTTTTCAAAGAAAATTGCAGTTTAGCACGAGGTTTTACTGATCTTTCACCCCTTAAGAACCAAGCATTGAAATAACAATAGTTGTTTAAATAATATTACACTAGACAGTAGAGAGGATATAAAATAATTTATAATTTTTTTAAACCAATAGTCACTGTACAACAAAAGCGTATACTTAACTTTGGGACCTTACGGTATATCAATTCATCTTGACATGAGAGGTTTGAAAACAGTGTGAATGGAGATGAACATTGCGTTATTTTACATTTGTAAACTGCAGCGCGTTGGCAAAATCTATATCTCCTTCTGGCTTTTGTTTCTCCTTTATAATCACGCGCTCTACATCATGATTGATTGATTAATTGACAGATGATTCCGTGCCCGTCAACTGCTAAGTTCATTGGTCTCGTAAATATAATGCATGTTTTTTTAGCACGGGAGGTGGCGAATATTTTCCCCTGTTGGTTGGCGAAATCTGACGCCGTCCTACCTTTTTGCTTGCGTGTTTTTCCCCAAGCACGTATCTCCCATCCACTAGCGGGGCACCGCCTCAATCGTAACCAGCTCTTGGCTCCCAGCCGGTCTCCTTGCAAGAATTTAAGTGTAGTGCAAGTACGGTGTAAGTGTAGGTGATGCAAGTAACGGTAGGACAAGGATAAGAGAGGAATGATCACGTCAGAGGCACTGCAGTGACAAATATATACCCTGAGCCACCTCTTTCAGTATCCGTACATCATAACGTACTTCTTTAGGTAGGGAAGTGTTTGTGGGTCGACCAAAATGGGATTTTTCAGTCACCTGTGTATTCATTTACACATTGCATTCACTTACTTTGCACAGACTTTAGATTTTATTAACATGTGTAAGAGCTAAATTATAGTTGTGACATATTTTCTTAATTCGCATACTATATATTTTCCATGAGTTGACAATTGCACAGTCAATCAATTTTTCTTTTACTTCGTTTTCCTCCAGAAGATCATCTATATTTTCCTTACCTGTCATTTCTTCAAAACTAGGAGGAATGTGCACAGCATCAATCACATTTGCAATAATATCGACATCTTCCAGAAATAAGTTCAGCAGTTGATAGAGGTCTTTATTTTCTTCTATTGTTCCCGAAACGAGCGGAATTTTGGAGAAGATAAATACGCTTGACGCATTTTTAGGCGCTAGCGTTGACCACAGACAGACGGAAGGGCAGAGAGAACAATGCCACCCTACAAATTGTTTTGTTTATTGCATGTAATCGGTGAAATATGAAACGTTTTGAATGTATGGTTATACTTCTACGTTGTTTAGTAACTCGTAGGGCTAAAAGTGTATTGCTCTTTGATATATATTACAAATTTTGTTTCGTTTCATTGAAAGTTTTAAGTAAGTATTCTAATGTTTTGCAGCCCTGTCGCAATGCTTCAATGCACTTCTCGCACCAGGGTCACGACGGCACTGTCCTCGTAATCCGCATATTTCCGACTTCAGGAAATCTTTTGTATTTGCGTACTGTAACGGACAGATGATTGTAAAAGCAAGAGAAAATCACTATTGTTTAAGTTTTAAATATTAGAAATAAATTTATTAACGCATTAAAAAGATAAAAAAAGAAAGTTTTGGTTTACTTGACCCCACTGTGAGCATGGGTCCAAGTAGCTCTGTTTTTTGAAATTTTGTGCTCACAATCTAACAAGGAAATCTGAAAAAATGGGGAAGGCGTTCGTTCCACTAATGAAGTTGTCATCGCCATTCTATTAACAAATACAACTTCTCCAAAATGTAAACCCATCTCTCGATCAACTATACTGAAATTCAGTGTAGAGATAAAAGTTTGCAGGGCTCAGATTCGGCCATTTTCGATCCCAGACATTTAACGTACGCTGTAACGTACAGGTGTTCCACCGAATTATGCTAAATGTGTTTAATGCTGTCGGACGGAAGCAACCGAAAACTAACTGGTCATTGCAATTACGTCAAGCGACTACAACCATGAAAGCATTTTTATCGTGTGGGTCCAAGTCAGTAGCGCAACGAAATGAGTGAGGGCCCGCCCGCAAAACTTTTCTCGCAAAACTCGTCCTTTATAAATGTGTATTGCAAATATTAGTCGTGTTAATACCTTAAATAATAAAAATATGCCCCTTTTACCACGGCCAGCCCACATTGCGAGCCCGAACGTTACGCCACTAGTCTAAGTAGTACAGAGCGATTTTTATAAGAATGGGACGTTTTGACAGCTAGTGCTGGCAACACATTTAAAGGTTCTGCGGTCGTTGCGTCCTTGAGCCTTGGCCTTCCTTCATTCGTTCGTTTGCAGTTGGCTAACTTGTAAATGGCTTCGACGCTTCCTTTTGTGATGTCCTCGTCCGACGAACATGTAGTGCGCCACGAGAAATAATTGAAATTGAGAAGTGCAGTGCGAGTTTTGAATGTGAGATGCGTACGGGTGGCGGTGCATGTGTTTCCGGCTCCTGTAGTGTAAGGTGGAGAGCTGTGTTCGAGAGTTTCGTGCTTTGCTTTTTGTATATTTTTTAATATAATAATGACACGGTTGTGAACCATGAAAAGCCAGAGTGGGCGCAAAGGGTATCCTCCTAGTTCACGATTAAGGAATGCATTAACATGCAGAACATTAGTGTCATATAAAACAAATTATTAAGTTACATTTGAGTTATGAGAACATAGTACTAAATATTGATAGTCGGGGTGTTATAATTATAAATAAACTATCCTCTTCACTACAAAAGTACATGAGGCATTCGTTGTGAAACAACCAGAAAAGGTATTCACACGTATCCTGAAAAATCATTTTTCTTTCTACTTACGTTCGTGACAGTTTTCTTTTCCTTAATATGAGAGCATGTTTAAAGAGTTTTCCACATACATAATTAAATTTCAATATTTCCCGTACTCGCGTATTGTATTGTATATTGTGCATATACCTCAGCGAAACTCTTAGATGTCTGTATAATAGGGAGGTTTAGCGCCACGCGTAAGGTAGCAGCGATATGCACCAACAGTCACGTGACATACCTTGAAGTCATAACGTCTTACGTTAGGTCTAAGGTACG